CTTTCAGGAAGGGAAAAAAGCTGTTAATTGGCTAATGGATTCTGGGTATGGCAGATAGGTTTTTATCATGTGGGCCAACCTCAATTGGTAGTTCCGTGGAGTTCTGTGTTGAGAAGGATTCTGAGGCCGGGATTGATGAGCAACAATTATGGGCACAATGGACACAACAGAGGAATGGCAGTATGTCCACATAGTTGTGGTGTCTTAGTGAGGGAGGCCTTTATCTTTGGTGACTAATGCAGTGCTCATAGTGGGGACACTCAGGTTGCTGTCAGCTTCACATAGGGGTTTAACCTCTTGAGAAGGACCAGTGGTCACTAGCCCCATTCCAGTAACTCCCAGCCCTGGTCTCCTCCTAGTCACCCTCTGCTACCAGAGAGATGGTCCCTTTGGTCCCTAGGCACCTCTTTCCATACTTTTAATGCATTCAACACAGGTTAATTGCTGCTTACTGTGTGCTGGGCACTGGGAACGTGGATGGACAAAACAAGGTTCAGGGAAATCTCATTTTAGTTGTGTGCACTAGGAAAACCAGAGTTTTCCAGCGTGCCATGGGGAATGGAGATGATGATGCAGTTTATTATGTCTGGTAGGATCTAGAGAGTCTTCCTAGAGGAATAGTGTATCTGGGCCATGAAAAAAAAGTAGAATTTTTAGCAGGCAGAGATGGGATAAAGAGACTTTGGGGTGAGAGCCCAGTGGTCTATGTGAAAAATCAAAATTGTCTAGGGTGGGTGGAGTGAAAGAGGAAGGAGTCAGGGGAAGAGAAGAAACTACAAATGTGGATCACGCAGGGTTTAGGATGACTGACTGAGGAGTTTGGGCTCTACCTCATTAGTGACAAGAAACTTACAGACCTCTCCAAACATACCCCATCCTAGTCCCTGGGAAAAGACCTTCACATATTCTGGGCCTCCTCACTCTGAACACACACACTCCTCTATGTTCAGCTCTCATTCTTCCTTTCCACATGTCAGATACTGCTTCTAGACCCCCAGCTAGGGGAGAAGAATCTGGGAGCCCCCCTTTGGGGCAACTTGGGTCAACAACTCTTGCTTCTGACCACAGGGAGCCTGGTGGATTTTCTCAAGACCCCTGCAGGCATCAAGCTGACCATCAACAAACTCTTGGATATGGCAGCCCAAGTAAGGAGAATGGGGAGGGCTGGGCAGGGGCACAGGGCAGTGGGGCAAGACTGCTGACCTGTACCTGGCCTGCAGATTGCAGAGGGCATGGCATTCATTGAAGAGCGCAATTATATCCACCGTGACCTGAGGGCTGCCAACATCCTGGTGTCTGACACGCTGAGCTGCAAGATCGCAGACTTTGGCCTAGCACGACTCATTGAGGACAATGAGTACACAGCCAGGGAGGGTAGGTGTGGGATATAAGGGAAGTCTGGGGCTTCCAGAGTCTAGCCAAGCAGACCCAGATGACCTCACTCTGCCTCCTCCCAGGAGCCAAGTTTCCCATTAAGTGGACAGCACCAGAAGCCATTAACTATGGGACCTTCACCATCAAGTCGGACGTGTGGTCTTTTGGGATCCTGCTGACAGAGATTGTCACCCATGGACGCATCCCTTACCCAGGTCAGGGCCAAGGACAGGAACTGAAAAGGGTGATGGGGAAGGGTGGCAAAATCCATGTCTTTATACTCACTTCTTCCTAGGCTCAGAATCTGAAACTTTCTAGCTGTTTCTTCTCCATCTTTTCAGGGATGGGACTCCATTATCCCCAGTTAGGTGCCACATCAACTACAGCTGGCTTTCACCTCTGTCTCTGGATCTCTCTTTCCCTTCAATAATCCCAGTTCTTCTGGTTAGTTCTGACACAGGCAACCTAGTAGGGTAGAAGAGGATCTGGCCTGAGAGGCAAAAGGCCTGTCTTTTATTACCAGATCAACCATGATGCTAACTTTTTGTTTGATCACATCATTCCTTCTTTTCCCATCTGTATAATGTAAGGTTAGAATAGTACCTGGCTCATACTAAGCACTCAAGAGTGTTAGGTTTTGTTATTAATCATCACTTTATGCAAGTGACTTTGGGCAGGTTAACTTCACCTTTTTGAGCCTCGATTTCCTGATATGAAAAATGAGACTATTTGTGAAAGAGCTTGACTCATAATAGGTGTTCACTAAACACTGACTTCCCTTCCCTCTGAAGCTTTCTGTCTAAAGAATGAGAGAGACATGAAAGCAACTGATTTCCACCCTCTCCCACCCTCCCCTTTATCTTGTGGACAAAGTCCTTTACCCCTGAATTCAGCTAAGAAAGAGATGGAATTTTTTTAAAGGAACTTGCTAGGAAACTGGGGAAAGGAAATAGAACACAAAGACAGGGCAGGGAGGTCATGGAACACAGTGGCTGGATTTGTAGAAGCTTCCCATATCCTGAGAGCAGTGTACACAGAGCTTTGCTCCAGGAATGTAAAGGCACCTTAGAATCAGGTGAGAGCCTGAAGGACTTCCTGACCCTGGACTTGTCCCATCACAGAGTCCAGCGGCAGTACTGGGGCTAGAACCACACTCTGGCCACCTTGCCAAGGGCCCTCACTGCTCCTCCATTGTGCCCATAGAGGTGAACCCACAGAGAATTTCTCTAATGAAGAAAAGAAGCATTGAAAGCATGATGATAAATGGCAACTGACACATGGCTTCAGGATCAGGGAGACAATAGGGAGTAATGGGGACCTGGGTGAATTTGCATTTGCTCTAGGAGATGCTGGATCCCAAATCCAGATCTTTTGTTTTTTTAAGAGAAGCTAAAACTTGGAGTTTTAGAAAAATTTTCCCATTTCCAAATATTGGTGATTGATTCAAATTATTTAAAAACAATATAGGGGCCAAACCAAAGTAGGTCTGTGGGCTATATTTAGGCTGGGTTTAGCCTATGGGTTTGCAGCCATGAATCTAGCTTTGGGTGTTTAGTTTCCAGGCCTATGTCCTCTGATGTCCTTATTATT